TCTCTCTCTCGATCGCTCTTTCTCTCGTGGAAGGAAGAACCTTTTTGTTGTTTGTTCACCCCAAGTTCAGAAGCAGGTTGCTGGCCACTGCCTGGGGGAAACCACAGGCCCAGGACAGCAGAGACCGAGCAGCTCTGAAGATGTCCCGCGGAGAGCCCTGACTCCGCAATCACACTGCCAGGCTTGGAAGGGGTGGGAACTGGGGTCCCGGGCGTCCGAGGGCTCCGGCAGAGACTCCTGCCAGCTTCCTCATCGGTGTCGGAGCCATCCTGCGGGCTGGCTGGCTCCAGGCCCGGGCTGTCGGCACACAGCGCCTCACGAGGCTCCTGCCAGCAGGCCAGTCTTCCCAGACGCCTAGAGGGCGGGGATGGGTCCGGCGTTGTGGTGGTAACGGCCCCTTCAGTGCTCGGGGAAGCCGAAGGTGTGGTGATGAGCGAGCGGTGCAATTAAGTAACTGATGTGTGGGCGTTTGCGAGAATGGGAAAGGGCTCGCGTCTGACAGACACCCGCCCTGGCACGACCACCCCGGGGTCGCTCAGCCCTGACCAGGCTCTCCACGACACCGTAGCTCCCCGACCCCCCGGGAGTAGAGTAGAGCACACTGGAATCCTCCTCAGGTGTGCTCGCTTACTCTTCAAACAAATCTACACTGCTAAAAATATATACGACCGAGCAGCAACAGTGGGAGAACTTTTAGGTCACAGCAACACCGTGCCATTGGCTCAGGTAGGGGGGGCGGGACTTCCCATTGGATAGAAAAACAGGCGTGGTACCTGTCAAAACGGTTGACTACCAAGTCTACTACTAACTATTAAGACTACTAAGTTACAACTAGAACTGGAACAAAGTTCACTGGCCATACCTGTCTGGCCCCCAGGATGGCCTTTAATCCCAACTGCTTTTTCTGCGGAGACAGGACAGGACTCAAGTCCAGCCTCTAAACTGAAATAATTTAGCATGTGAGCGAAGCAGGATGACATAGTTGGTTTGTTTTCTTATCGTCAACCAAGGATCCCAACGAGCAGAACAGCTGATCCTCCGTTTTTAACTTCTTGCAAAGAGCCCAGGCGATTTAGGAGGATGCATCAATTAACTGAGGACAGCCTCCAGTTGTGCAGCACAGCTAATTCTGAAACAAGACCCATAAAATCAAGAAACAGTGCAGATGCAGAATATTCCAGATGACATTTTTTTTTCTCGTAACTATATCATTTTAACTACCCAATGATGTAGTTAAGCAACATCTTCCGTTTAGCAAACAATTATTGTCCAACTTGGTACTGTCATTTGGAGGACAGGTCTGGACACTGTGGCTGATCTTGGGCCAGCTAGCCACAGTGGTCCTAAGCCTAGAAAATACACAACCCAAACCCAAACTCGTAGCCAACCCCAACACTGCCCAAACCCAAACTCATCCCACCTGAAGGGAGTATTCCCCAGTCCGCTGGAGACGGGATACAGCGTCCACGGTGCCGAAGCTCTGCGGACGAGCCTGTTGCCGCAGGTCTCCGGGCCCGGACCGCGCCTGCGCCCTGTGCCGGCCTCTGGCGCTTCAGCACTCGCTCCAGCCACGCTGTCTGAACAGCCAGGAGGGGAGCCGGAGCGGCACGGGTCCGAGCGCCGAAACCGGCGATGCATCAGGCCAGGGAATTAGTGCATAGTGTACCCCTCCTGCCACGTCACGACCTATAGATAACAAGCTATGCACTACACACCACAGCCGGATGACTCTTCTGGAGCGGGGATTGTCTGTCTTTACATTTGGATTTGCAACTTTCAGATAGGCCGTCCATTCGCCGTTGTTAGATGTTTTCCTATCGGTACGGACATGTATAATACAGTATACAGTTCGTAAAGACCCGAAAGGGAATGAGTCAAGCGCAAGGGTTGCGTGGAAGTTATGTTGAGGGCTCTGGGATTCAGACTGCCGTCGTATCCTTCATTCAGAGTGCTCCGCCAGATGCGCCAGTGAACTGCTGTAGAAACGGGAGTCGAGATTAGAATCGGAATTTAGTAATACAATTAGAATTTACTCACCGCTGGGCTGGTGGGGTAAAGCACTCACCTCGCCTCCCGCATCTTCACGGAATCTGGGGATCAGAGTGCTGAATGAATCGCTTTGCATTCCGCCCACGAGTCTGAACTCGTTCAAGCACGAAGACGAGTTAGGAGCTATACGCAGAAGCGCTCGGGGGAAATGACACCAGAAATGTAAATTGTGACTTCATACGGGCCTGAGTTCCCCAGCCTTGGGTACCTCCGTGAGCTGGTCCACTGCTCTGTTCCTGTGAGGAATCTTAATGTTTTCCTACCATATACATTGAATTCAAAACCGCACCAATCGAATTATGAAATTCACGTAGACGGGCAATAATGAATATAGTTCTGACCTATAATAGCCAAACACTGTGATCTATACAACAACTTACTACATCTTTTAAACTGTTTTGGCACGTGCATGTGATATACAATTGGCTTTTTTATGGAAAGTAAATTCAGTGGCTCTGTGCAAGTCCTCGAATGTGGCTCACATTATAAACCTACTACATCATTCTGATATTTCACAGAAAGCAGTTAAAAGCAGAAACGTGGTTTTTAAATTAGTTTATTTAGTTCAACACTTTGAATTGCTATAACAATGTTATGGCTATTTAAATATATACTGTATATATAAAATGACAATTCTCTCTCACCATAATTTTAGTGCATGCACTGAATCAGTCATTCTCAACCTGCTCTGAGCTTGTGATTTCACATATGGCTTTTTCGATTAATAGACTCTCTAGACAGCCATATCACATTAAAAACTCAAATCAAAAGTTAATTAATAAATCAAGGCAAATAAATAATTTAAAAGTGAATTTTGTAAAATCCAGAAAAAGTCTCAAAATAAGGGCTAGACAATAGTAACATCTACTACAGTCAATTGAATTTCAAATTTTAATCTTCCTAGTGATAAAGTTTGTTGCTGTCACAAAATGTTAAGAATTAATACAAATATGAATTGAAAATAATATGGCTAGATTTTGCATTCAAGCAAAATACTGCTACAATGAAAACAAGTTATTATATAGGATTTACTGGTCAGAATGATCTAAAACCTGTAACAACAGTTGTTTACGGGTCTAGGCATCACTTGTCCCTTTTCTGCTATGAAACAAAGGCACGTTACTGGTTCTGTAGCTGAGAAAAAGCCAAATGTAGATTTTCAATGTCGAAATATAGTGTTGTATAATTACACTACCTTAATTATTTCAATTTTGTTCAAGAGAAGGCAACACAACACATGACAAACAATGACCATCCTCAGGGTTAAAGCTAAAAGTGACACTGGGAAACTACTGTTAAGCTCAATACGTCTACAGATGACAGACTTAGTCTCCGTTGAATTCTCTTCCTTCTGCTTGCTACTTGTGGGCAAAGAAGAAGGTAGGTTAGGTTATAGGTAAATATGCAGAAATGGAAAAGGAATTCTGATTGAGTTGTTTTGTAATTGTTGAATTACAAAACATTAAATGGTTGTAACATTAAATTACCTCGCTCCTCCATCAAATCCAGGTAGTGATTTTGATCCAAAGGCCATAGTGGTGGACAGGAATAACATAAGAACACAATATGTTACATTAAATCAAGTGACGCATAACTAGACTTTCAATATTCTCCCGGCTATGTGCTCAATACGATTTAAAATTGTTATGGTGATGATGGTGACGTGTGAATATTATTCTTCGTTTTTTTTCTAATAGAGTGTCATTCCCTCGTTCATAAAATCACGTGATAAGTGGTCAAAGAACAACCTCGACATCTATGTGTGTGTACCTGACTAGATCTGGCTGTGCGGGAATGCTGTTAGATCTACAGTGGTCAATCGCCCTGACTCTATCTCTGCTGACCGTGTGCTTAGTGTTTCCTATAAGGATTATCTGTTGATACAAGTCACCGACAAATACAGCTTCTGTTAACATATTACCACTGCTGACGGCGTCATTCTGTTGGCGGGGGTGGTGGTGTGTGTGACAAGGACACGGCTATGTTATTTCTGTAACCCCGGCTTTCACAGAGAGGGTTCGACACATCCAGCGTTCTCTGCGCTACGGCTCCAGATATCGACGGCGATTCGCTTGCAGGAGATCCCCGCCCCCTCCTGCCTCGGCCCCCCCCC